GTGTTACGGGTGTTCAGTGATTGTGTGTGTGTGTGTTCAGTGATCACGTGTGTGTGTTACGGGTGTTCAGTGATCATGTGTGCCGTTGCTCCGCAGGAGGGGAAGAGCATCAAGAGCAGCAGCGGATTCTCTGGCAAGGGCTTTAAGTTCGATGAGACTGAGCATGCGCTGGCTAACGAGAGGAAGAAGCTGCAGAAGGCTGCGTTAGGCCTGCATGACTCTGATGATGAGGATGCGGCTCTGGACGTGAGTCCACACTGATCACAGCTGAGACTAGAGACTGCAAATAAGAGAACAATCTGACAAACTGCTGTATTTACTAATGTTATGAGGCTGACTGAAGAACATGATCTGATTCAAGAAACTTCTAGATCAAATACTGAGGAGTTATGATTGCACAACATAAATATTACAACTGTAGTCCAGGGTTATTAAAGTAAACTAAAACCATAGAAAACTTTTAGTTGGATTAAAAAAAACAATCTAATGTCTGATTATGTGAAAGTGAAGTATCAAACAAAGTCCGTTTACAGATTTATTCAGACTTTCCATCTGTTGGACGTATAACATGTTGAATGTGTAAACATACTCTGATTTACTGCATTAATACACATTTCAGCACACTCGATATAATATTTGAAGTTGACCAGAATCACTACTGATTGTGAAAGTGACCACATGTGTGCATTTATCCGAAGCGACTTACACCGCATTCAAATCACATTTAGACAGTTCTGGCTTTCCCTGGGAATCATGGGAATGATGCTGCTGTTGCCAGAGCCCATGGGCTACAGGAGCGCTGTACTGTTATGATTTATGTAGTTACAGTGTAATAACACCTGATCCCTGTCGTGTGGCTGCAGATCGACGAGCAGATCGAGAGCATGTTTAACTCTAAGAAGCGTGTGAAGGATCTCTCTGCTCCGGGTGGCTCTGCGGGAGCCGCTGCTGGCGGTGTGAGCGGATCTGTGACCGCTGTGTCCGGTCTGAGCACTCCGTCCGCCGGAAACATCCAGAAACTGGAGATCGCCAAGAAACTGGCCCTCAAGATCCAGGTGCAGAAGAACCTCGGCGCAGAGGCTCAGGTCAGAGAGCGCATGAAGCTTTTAATAAAAAAAAGAGTTGATGAGTTTATGCCTCGCCAAAGGTATATTTGATACATGGAAGCTGTGAATTAAATCTAAAAATGAGATTGTCTTTCGTTGCTCTCAGGATGTGATGCAGCAGGCCACAAACGCCATCCTGCGCGGCGGGACGATGATCGCGCCCTCCGTCTCGGCCAAGACCATCGCGGAGCAGCAGGCGGAGAAGATCAACGCCAAACTGAACTACACTCCGGTGGAGAAGCTGGAGGAGGAGCGGCAGGCCGCCGAGGCCACGGACACCGTCAAGAGATACGAGGAGGAGCTGGAGATCAACGACTTCCCTCAGGTCAGACGCTACACAGAGTTACACTTCTGACAGACCTCTTAGAATTCAGCTGAAGAAATTACAGTAACACGTTACAGTAATAGTGTGTTCACACCAGACACGAATGTAATTATTCACGCGAGTAGATTACATGCAAAGACGTGAATAGAGGCGAACCACGTGAATGACGTGAAATGTGCGACGCATTTGCCGTGAACGCACGATATTCGCCTCAATCGCGTCCTCCAAGCAAGTTAAATTTCAACTCTAGCCTTGGGTGACTGTCTCCACAGATAGCACAGCAATGCAAAAATTTACACTTGAGGTAAGGACACACAGACTCATTGAAATTGATACATACAGGAATGCCAGAGCCTTCTGGATTTCTTGCTTTGCTTTGAAAGCGTGCAGAGAACTTGGAACCAGGTTCTGGTTTGAGAGGCAGATCATGGACATTAGCTCGCTCACTCCCTATAGACCAATCCAGTTTAAGATTGAAGTGCTGGATGTACACAGCAGCTTTTTCAGAAAAGGATTTGGGGTATTCGTAAAACAGAGAACCACCATAGTTAATAGCCAAATCTGAAATTATAGTGAGGTAAGTGTCTAACAGTGTGTTCACACCAGACACGAATGTAATTATTCACGCGAGTAGATTACATGCAAAGACGTGAATAAAGGCGAACCACGTGAATGACGTGAAATGTGCGACGCGTTTGCTGTGAACGCACGATATTCGCCTCAATCGCGTCTTCCAAGCAAGTTAAATTTCAACTCTAGCAGAAAATGCAAGCCAATCAGTGAAGAGCTTCTTGACACGTCCAGTTGAATCGGACAATAGAAGAGAGCCGCTGTTATTATATAGGTCTGGAGAATAGCAAACAATTAAAATCCATTGTAGTGGAAGTTGTATTTTATTAGCATGGCTACAGAGATGCTGCTATCAATAATAAAAATAATAGTAATATCAGTGTATATATACAGTAGTAAAATGTAACCCACACATTAATACAGGATCCTAATGTTATTCATCCTCCTCTGGATGATGGAGACACGTCTGCGTTTGGCTTTCCATTGTGTTTGGGACTTTTTGACAACAGGTACAACACAGCGATTGTGCCCCTTAATCTGTAAGTTTCCACCCACGACGCCGTTATTGTGTTTTCACAAGAGACAGCAGTGTAGCAGCTCTAATGCCATGGAGAAAGTGTGAGCAAAGCATGTTAACTGTTCTGTGTTTGGCTGCACAGACGAGCACAGAACACTGTTTAGAG